TGGTAACACCGTAACGTTTATGGAAATGGCTCCTAACTATTCTGTACGCTATTGAGCACTGAATAGGGGAATTGCGGTCCTGAACCATTGACTTGTTTGCAACGAAGAAAACGTGATCCCGGGATCCTGTTAGCCGGTGGGACAAGCCACGGCATTTGCTGCTGTTGTGCCGGCGAAACAAACAAAATTTACTTGAACAAGTTCATGTGGTTAACAATTCCCCTCATTCGGCCATCTATCTTCTCAGTGATCTTCTCTTTGTTGGCAATGAAAATACCAATTATTCAGGAACAGACAAACTAAAATTTCACGCTACATAATAAATTAATTTAAAACACTAATTATCTCCACACAATCATTCTCAGTCTTTCGTGGTTTTTAAATTGTTACTAATTCATATTTCTCTTTCTTTTCTTTATCTGTCCACGTAGTTAATAATAAAAACTAATTGGTTTTAAAAAAAATGATGTAATGTGGATAGATTAATCAGGCTCATCAAACAGAACATTAAATTTTATTGGTAAATTAAAAATACATTCCGATCCGGTAAAATTAAGTTCATTATCATCCAATAACAAATCAAACTGGGTTTTTTTATAAAAACAATTTTTTTCAGTTTTTAGGATAAAAAATATTTTTAAACCAGTTTAAACTTATTTGAAATTAAATGTATTTTTTTTTAAATATATTTCATATCAACGTGATAATCCATTGAAATAGGTTCTCACATATATTCATTTGAAAATTTAAACTCAAAAAATCAATGAAACCACGTCAATTTTTACTTAAAACAACTTATCAATATGGATTTTGATGAAGGTTCAGAAGGTTCAAGTAGCTGAATGCCTAGATTTATATTTTAAATAATTAATTGATGTATTAATTTTAATAATTTGATTTATTTTTTATATTCGTGGTAGTTGGTATTTAGTAAACTAAAGTGATTGGTAGCCAGTACTTACAAAATATCTCTTTTTATATATTTAGTAAACTAAAGTGATTGGTAGCCAATATTTACATCTCTTTTATGTATTTTAAGACTCTTTAATACTTAAATAGATATTTTGTTTGAGATAAAAGCCAATAATATATTTTTTCAAGAGATTCTCAAGTAAATATTTCATTGTTCATGGAGATTGAATCCCTTTGTAACTTATCTTATCCTTTGGTGAAGGGAGTGACTTAAAAATCATCCTTTTATGATATCATTAAAACATTATATCTCATGTGTGAAAAAATGAAAATGTATTTGATTCATTAAAAAAAAAATATTTGTTTTATTAAAAGAAAATACCATGGACTCATTAAATAAAAACATCATTCTACTATTCATTATAATAGTCAAGTAAGGTGTAGGGCTATCCTAAAAGAAGGTATTTGCCTTGATATATAAGTATTTTTTATATTTTCACACGATTTATTAATCATTATAGATTTAATTTGAGGTATTTTTATTTGTTTAATATTTTAAATTATATTAAAATAATAAAAATATTCGTGAAGATAAAAGAATGGGCAGGGTGGGGACAAGTGTGTCTTGGTATTTTAATTTTCATTGTAAACATTCAAATTAAACACATGCCATTGAATATAAGAAATGTAAGTAAAATAGGGTAAAAGGTATTATGATTCTTTAGCCTCTAGAGTTTTTATTAATTACATATTTGATCGAGAGTGATAATATAATTTATTATTTTTAAATTTTAAATTTTTAAAAATTATTGATACACTAGGGTCACCATGTATTTTGAGTGGCAAGTATGATTGCTATTAATAATTAAAAACAGATGCTTGTCATATAATCTTATTCCTTGTTTGTTTCCTCCTTTATTATTTGTATAACATGTTTTCAAAAAATAAATAATATTGTCTTAGCTTTAATTATTTGAATTATTAATATTATATATTTATCATTAATAATTTTTTATATCATCTCTTACTTTCATTTCAATACATAGATATAATATTTTTGTAAAATAAAAAATATTACAATTCCTCGAAGAAGCGATAGGCATCAAAGCCAGCACTCATTTGGTAATGTGGCTGCGAGCGAGGTTCACCCACAGCCACACATAATATAATTTGACAACATAAAAACAAAAACTTTATATTATTAGGACTCACCAAAATATAAGATTATGCTATAGATTTTGAGAAGCAGCAAGCTATTTCCGTGGGGGATGAACCACAACAGTGGAGCATGGCTCCACTATCATACTGTTCACTCAAATGAACAACGCAAGTGAATTTTAATTCACCTGTATTATTTACTAAAATGAATAGTTTTTTTAGAAAAAAACAACGTGAGTGAGTTAATTCACTTGCATTATTTACGTGAAAAGTTTAGTTTTTTTAAAAAAATCGGTGCAGTTAATTGATTTCACTCACACTATTCATATGATCATGAATAATATTTTTTTTTGTTTTTTAAAAATTAGTTTAAGGTGAATTAAATTTACTCGTACTGTAATCTTAAATTTATTCATAATAATATTCTACCTAATTTTATTGCACGCTAAAAAAATCATGAAAATTGTAGTTCTTGTCGAATGAATTTTATACGTGATGAAATTATAATTTTTTTTTAAATTAAGTTTTACTAAAAAAAACTAGTTTTTAATATTATTTAATAATATTATATAAATTAAAAGGATATCGCATTATGACATAGCATTTGTGAAATTTAATTGTAATTCCAATTATGTTCTTGCTGGGTATTACCCAGTTAATAAAAAAATCATTTTTTATTTTTATTTTAATTGTATTTTATTTGAAAAATTAGAAGAAGATCATTTGATGATATAATAAAAAATCTAGTTTTTGTTGGTGTGTATTTAAGAAACCATGAAAAATATAGTAGTTATTTGATATATTTCATATGTGATGACATTGCATATGGTTTGATGCTCGTTAATAAAATAATAAAAAACATTTGATATCAATATTATTTATTTTATAATATAATAACAATAATTAAATGTATAATATTCAATTAAAAATAATATATATATATATATATATTAATTATGTTATAATCTCAATTTGAGAAATATTTTTTCAATCAAATATATTAAATTATTTTTTATTTAAATTTAATTTTAACTATATTTTTAATTAAATATATATATTTTTTATATTAATTTTAATTAAAAATAATTTTTATAAAATAATTTTTTTAAAACCGAGTCCTATCAACAACCTCATATTCAGGAAAAGAACCTCAGTATACAAGAAAAGAAGAACGAGGGCGGTGGTATTTTGTACTCCTGCTTTTGTGTTATCTTAGCTGAACGAAACGAATCACGTGGCTAATGACAGTACAGACCGCGTGCCCACGCACTGCAGAAACACGAAAACCATGCAGTGCCAGCTGTTTTAATCAGGAACGTCGTAAGTTGAACATCGATCAAACCAAATCAACAGTAGTAGAAAAAAACAACAACAAGTGGAGTATGGTATATTTACTAGTATTTGTACACCAAGAAATACTCTACAGTTTGACAGCAGGGAACCGTACGATTCCACGGAATCCGATAAGAACAAGCAGTCACATCCCACCATCACTTTCACTGCAATATAGAAAACGTCCACTACCTGTACGGGCCACTTTAATTAGCAAATGTTTAAGATTACGGTAATGGTGCTATTTATATTGTTTTTTAATATATATTAAAATAATTTTTTATTTTTTATTTTATTTTCAATATTAGCCTTAAAAAAATTTAAGAATATTAAAAATAAATAACAAATATAATATTTTTATCCTTTATAAAAAATATTTTTAAAATAAAAAACAAATAAAATCTTGATAGCAATACTTTTGCTTCCTCCTCTTACCACCATTCAGTGAGAACGGGGACTGACCCTTTTGTGCTCTGGGAAATTTAGCCCCCCTTCACGGTGTTGTATAAGTCCGTTGTTTAATTGCAATTTTAATTTTTGATTTTTTTAAATTTTTTTATATTATTTTGATGTACTAATAAAAAATAAAATTTAAAAAATAAAATAATTTATTTTCATACAAAAAATAATTTAAAAAGAATTCCACGGACTTATAAATTAAATTGTAAGGAAGATAATGTTTTTTTTTCTGTGATTTCAAATCTTTAAGTAAAAAATTGTTTTCAGTTTTTTTTTTATCAATATGTTGTTTGCTTTAAATTAGAACTTAAATGGAAGGTCATATATTATTCCAAAAAAATAAACAAAGGGGCTGTGCTGTTATTCATTGATAAAAACACAAAAAACAATAAATTACAATAAACCTCTAAAATATTATGAAATCATAAATATTATTCAAGAGTGTGAAGTTTTTATGTCCAATATATCCTTAATTATTATGAAAAAAAAAACGAAAAAAGTAGTCAAATTAAACAAAAAAACTAAAAAATTTAGAGCTGAGATACTAAAAAAATCAAACCAAAATTGAAATAAATTATAAGTGAAAACAATATTGTTCATTCACTTAAAATAATCATGCTTAATGCTTTTTTATATATATTAATTTTCAAATTATGAAATATTTTTTGAATTTAACTATTTTTTAAGTGAAATTAAGAATATTTTAGTACAGAATAAGATTTTTATACCGGTTATGTTCAAGTATGAAGGTGATGGCGTCAAATCTTCAGATGATAATCCCGAGGGTTACTAAAAAAAGAGAGAGAAAAAGCGAAGGCAAAAAAAAACACAGATGATGGCAGGTGGAATGAACCATTGGCGTGTTAATAATGGCGCCCATCCATGGTTCCTTCACTTCACCATAGCTTTCGAGAGGGGGTGGTCCAACCAACCACCCAACCACGCCTCTCCTTCGAGGGGTCAGCTGGTCCAATCGCCAAGTCGGCCTGGATCGATCGTACCTAAACACCCCATGTGCTAATCCATGTACGGACCCTGTATTTCGTGAATGACAAGGATTCCTTTTCAAGGCTCGTTGTTCCTAATCCCATACGTTTTTTTCACCCCTTGGTTAACAATCTCTATGTATTAAAATTAAAAAAAAGAGTAAGAAAATCTCTTAAACATAAAATCATAAGTGCAGAAACTTTCATAAGCACTAACCACTTATTTATTACTAGCTTTGTCTAGTATCTATCCATTAAAATTATGCTTACTTTGGCGAAAACAAACGAGCTTTGAGAAGAACCAATCGGCCATTGACATTTGATGCTGAATTCGCAAGAGACCCATCTACGGGGTTATATTGCACTTTGTTCCATGATCTAATCGGTCGATCTAATCGGGTCGACGGACGGAGGAACAATACCTCGTATGTACCTTTCTAAACACCTAAGAGAAATATCTACACCAACTTGAGCGTGGAAAACAGATTGTTGTGAAGGGGATCTGATATGTGCTCGACAAGGTTCTCAACAGGCCCTTTACCAGTCAAAGCTGCTTGGATGTAAAAGCCTAACCAGGCAACCATTGCTAGGCGCCCATTTTTAATTTCTTTCACCTTCAACTCCTCAAAAGATACAGGGTCTTTGGAGAGGTTCAAGGGATCGAAGAGGATTCCCCCAGGGTAATTGATGTCCCCTGGCAAATAAATTCCCAGAGGTTCCAAAGCCTCAATTCCACAGTATCTTGCATACTCCGGCCCAACCTGTTCACCAAAGAATTTAGATTCCAAGACATTTACAACCCTTCACTCATTTTGCAAGCCTGAGCCCAGAAAAGTTATGCATCACAGGTATCTTTATCATGAAATTAAAAGAAAAGGAAGCAAGGTGAGATTGAAGTGCTGCTTGCTAGAGTGGTTACCATTAGTATGGCTTGACAGAAAGCAATTACAAGCACTCCTTGGCCCCCGGCGAAGTGGAGTCCAGGGATGCCAAGGTAGTCCAGTGTATCTCCCTGGTAATAATTTGAAGAAGCAAGAAGCAAAAGAAATAAATCAGCATGCTGCTGCAGTGGACATATTCGCCCTTCACATAGAGATAGTAAAGAAGTGAATGGTAGACTCTGACTCTTAGGATCGAAACTAACTAAGAATGGGGAATTTGGAATATCTTTAAACACGAATATCTCTTGAAGAATGATGCAAAGAGAGGGTTAATATACTAGCCTTAAGCTTCGAATAGCCAACTCGCCACCATACAGGCTCAATGAAATGAAAGACACCTGACAAATCCAATACTTCTGGAATCAAAGCACCGAGAGCAGCAAGCATAGCCCAGCGAGCATGAAGTATTTCAAAGCTGCACAAAAATGGAATCAAACTGAGCAAATGACCATTCAGTATTTGAAAAGAGAAACCATTCAGTATTTGAAAAGAGAACTTTGTTTTACTATGTTCATAAAAGAAAAAATATTAAATACAAGGTAAACATTGTAGAAACAGTTCGAACCACATAAACCATTATAGGCATCCATATAAAGCTGAGGAATTAATTGCATATACTCAGATAGCAATCTTCAGCATCATGCTATGGCACTTTACTCCAGAAACATAAATGTTGTCCCTGGACTTGTTATGGATGGAAATTTGACTTGAGTTTCAGATTGGCAATTGCGGAGGACACTGTCCCGTGCAATAGACCAAGAATGGCATGGCGATTAGCCCAGCATGCATATGATTGAGGATATAAAAGGACAGCAAATGGCATACTTGAAGTATCTCTGGAAAGCAACCGGATCCTCAGCTAGACCGGCAACATCAAAGCCGTAATCCCCTGGCAGCTCTCCACTAAGATATGTTGGGTACTGGTACGAAATGGGACCGAGCCACCTAGGGCGCTCCTCTCCATACCAGAAGCTGTAAGTTAAAATTCTTCTTGTTGTCACATTGCAAATTCGCATTGATTGAAAATCAATTAACAGGGAACAATCAACAAAGCAAAAACATTAATCTGTACCGCATGCCTTTTAAACCTGCTACACGCAACCTATTCAATATTCTTGAAAGAAGATATTATACGAAAACCAAGTCCGGGGAAGCGAGGTGCTTTGCTGCTGCTGCTACTACCAATAGTCAAGCAGCTCCTTGGTGGCAATTTAAGGCTGGTGGAACAAATGGTGTACATAGGTGACTTCCAAAGTACTCAGAATACCTCGGGGATGAGAATTCTTGGGGAACAATAAATTAACTTGAAGTAAATTTCCACCATTCATGCATTTAATCTGTTCAAAGTTTATTATATTAACTTGTCCGTATTAATTATGATTAAAACAAGAAGAAGGGAAAAATGCTTACCCCGATCGAAATTACCTCTCTTTACGGGCCTTTTGGGCTAAAGCTTTGAACTTGGAAGATTGTTGAACGGCAAGTTTCTTCCTCTGTTCCAATCGCCTCTGGAGAGACTCTCCAAGTGGGCTATTGGCAATGGCTTTCACAGCCGTGAATGGAATTGCTGAGAATATCACCACGCCAGCAAGCTAATTCAAACAATTATATATAGATTCAACAACTAGATAAAGAAATAATTATACATCCCTGTGCCTAGATTGAAAGCAAAATTAATTAAGGATGTAGCATAGAGTGAGGGAAGCACGTACCTCTTGCCATGAAGCTTTGCAGATGGAAGCTGGTAGGCTGGTACTGTTACTGGAGTTGCTTCGAGATTTGGGTAACAAGATGTGGGGGACTCTTTGATGGGCGAAGAAAGACGAGGAAGACGCAGAAAAGGAAGCATGTGGATGCACTACTGCCAATGCCAGAGCCATGACCATCAGTGGTCTTTCTCCTTCAACTCTTGCAGCTGGAGACCGAATCGAACGGATGGTTTGTAATAGATAAAAAAAATAAAACAAAATACTAATAATGATGATGGACAGGCTTACACGTGGTCCGTGCGGAACTGATCCACGTAGAATAATAACGAATTTGTCTTAGATACTTTCTTAAATAGAAGATCCTTAAGTAATCAACAAGACGTGGGAATTCACTGTTAACTCACACATAATATATTATATATTACAGGTTAAATTTTTTTACATAAAAAACCAAAAAAATTAAAAGTAGTAATTTTTTTTTATAAAACTATATTCAAGAATTTAGATTTGATTGTAATGCTTGATTTAAAATTAATATTTATAATATTATTAATAATAATATTAAATTTAAATGATCTAAATTTAAGAAAGTATGATTATAATACTATACTCAATAGTCTAAGATAAGGATTTGACTGCAATGTAGTATTATAAAAATGTGACAATTAAATAAATTAATGAAAAAACAAATAAAAAACCAACAAGAAGAAAAAAAATTAATTAAGAAAAAGAAAAAAAATCTAAATTAATTAGGTTAACTCTTCAAATCAATTTAACCCATCAAGTTCGGGATTCACGTTATGAAAGTTTGATAACTAAATAGAAAAAAATTGACGGGTTAACTGGGTAAAACCGTTAAATCAGGTTAACTCATTAAACCTGAGATATATATCATGAAAGTTTGATAATTAAATAGAAAATAAATTATTATTAATAAAATAAACTAAACTAAAAAAAAATAATTGAAAAAAAAAACAAGTTAACCTATCAAATCAGATTAATCCTTCAAACTCGGAATCCATTTCATGAAAATCTGATAAATAAATAAAAAAATTTAATGTTAACAAACAAAATTTTAAAAAAAATATTAAAACAAAAAACAAAAAAACCCCATAAAAACATAAAAACAAAGAAAATAGAAAATAGAAAAAAATTAAAAAAATAGACAATTATATTATTATAATTATAATTATAACATATAAAATACATGTACGAGTAAAGCTATAGTACTTCTTTCATGCATTTTAGAATTAGAAAAGCTACAGTGCTTCTTTCATGTATTTTAGAATATTAGTTAATGTTATGAATTATAATAATAATTTACAATGCATTTACTTGTATATATATATTTGAATTTTTGCATTTTTGGTTTTTTACAGTGTATTATATTTTTTTCCTCACCTTATCTTTTGTATTTTTCACTTTTATTTTTATTTTTTTTTCACTTAAGTGTATCCCTTTCCTTTTTTTTATATAGTACTTTTTTTTGTTTTTTTATTTTTTTTTAAAACTTTTTTTTTGTCAATTGTTTTTTAATATTAAATTAGTTAAATTTGCTTTGTAATTTTTTTCACTCACAATTTATTGCATTTTTTTAAAAAATTCTTGTTTTTATTTTTTTAATTTTAATGTAATTAAAAATTAAATTTTATAATTTTTAAGTATTGAGTTAAAGGGTGCGGGGGAATTTTTTTCTCTCACTATTTCTTTTGTTTTTTTTCATTCACGGTGTTACTTTTTATTCCCTGCAATTTGTTTTTCTCAAATTTGTTTTTCTCAAATTTGTTTTCGTCAATTTTTCTTTTTTAATATTGGTTAAACATCTTGCTCTGTAATTTTTTTTACTCGCAACTTATTACTTTTTTTTCACTTTTTTAAAATTTTGTTATTAATTTTTAAAAATTTATTTTTGATTATTTGTTTTTAATATTGATGTAATTAAAAATTAAGTTTTTCAATTTATTTATTTTTATTTTATCTTTTTATACGATTAAAATGATTTATCTATTTGCTAGGATAACTCAAGTTGTTCCAATTTACAAGTTTAGTTGGATTTTTTTTAATCGAGCTTAACTTTGTTATCGTTTATTCTATGTAGTTACAAACAATAATTTCATAAAAAAAATAAAAAAATATTATATATAAAGTTAAAATATATAGAGAAAACACTATAATTTTTCTCATAAAATACTATAAATTGCTACAATGTTTCTTTACATAGTTTTTTTCTTATAATTTTTTAAAATTATTTTTATTAATTTTATTTTTTTAATATGAGCTGGTTGAGAATTATAATTATAAGTAATTATAAGTAAGGTTAAATTATACGAGGAAGTATTATAGCTTTCATCACAAAATATTGTGAAACTTCTTTCATGCATTTTAGAATTAGAAAAGCTACAGTGCTTCTTTCATGTATTTTAGAATATTAGTTAATGTTATGAATTATAATAATAATTTACAATGCATTTACTTGTATATATATATTTGAATTTTTGCATTTTTGGTTTTTTACAGTGTATTATATTTTTTTCCTCGCCTTATCTTTTGTATTTTTCACTTTTTTTTATTTTTTTTTTCACTTAAGTGTATCCCTTTCCTTTTTTTATATAGTACTTTTTTTTTGTTTTTTTGTTTTTTTTTCAAACTTTTTTTTTGTCAATTTTTTTTTTAATATTGAACTAGTTAAATTTGCTTTGTAATTTTTTTCACTCACAATTTATTGCATTTTTTAAAAAAATTCTTGTTTTTATTTTTTTAATTTTAATATAATTAAAAATTAAATTTTATAATTTTTAAGTATTAAGTTAAAGGGTGTGGGGGAATTTACTGTTTACCCATACTTAATACATTGTGAATTATAATAACAGTGTATTTTTTTCATGTTTTTTGTATTTTTTTCCACAATATATTATTTTTCTCTCTCACTATTTCTTTTGTTTTTTTCATTCACGGTGTTACTTTTTATTCCCTGCAATTTTTTTTTTCTCAAATTTGTTTTTGTAAATTTTTCTTTTTTAATATTGGTTAAACATCTTGCTTTGTAATTTTTTTTACTCGCAGCTTATTATTATTTTTTTCACTTTTTTAAAATTTTGTTATTATTTTTTAAAAATTTATTTTTGATTATTTGTTTTTAATATTGATGTAATTAAAAATTAAGTTTTTCAATTTATTTATTTTTATTTTATCTTTTTATACGGTTAAAATGATTTATCTATTTGCTAGGGTAACTCAAGTTGTTCTGATTTACAAGTTTAGTTGGATTTTTTTTAATCGAGCTTAACTTTGTTATCGTTTATTCTATGTAGTTACAAACAATAATTTCATAAAAAAAATAAAAAAATATTATATATAAAGTTAAAATATATAGAGAAAACACTATAATTTTTCTCATAAAATACTATAAATTGCTACAATGTCTCTCTACATGGTTTTTTTTCTTATGATTTTTTAAAATTATCTTTATCAATTTTATTTTTTTAATATGAGCTGGTTGAGAATTACAATTATAGATAATTATAAGTAAGGTTAAATTATATGAGGAAGTATTATAACTTTCATCACAAAATATTGTGAATTGTTATAGTGTTTTTAACATGTTTTTTTTTCATTTTTTTATGTTAATTTTTTTTAAAAGTTATCTTTGTTGATTTTATTTTTTTAATATTGAGTTGATTGAGAATTTAGCTTTGTAAGTTTTTTATTATTAAAAAAATTTAAATTGCTGCAATGTTTTTTATATGATTTTTTTTATAATTTTTTCTATCTATTTTTTAAAATATTCAGTTCATTAAGAGTTATAATTATAATAAAATTAAGTCATGTGAGAAAAGATTTTTATTTTTTTTTATAAAATATTATAAATTATTACAGTATTTTTCTAAATGATTTTTTTATGATGTTTTTAAAATTATTTTTATCAATTTTATTAGTAAAGGCATTGTAGTTTTTCTCACAAAATATTGTTAATTACTATAATACTTTTTTCATGAGTTTTTTTTCCTTTCAAAATTGTATTTGTTGATTTTTTTAATATTAAGTTGATAAAAAATTTAGCTTTGTATTTTTTTATTTTTTTATTAACAAAAAATTTAAATTATTAAAAAAAATATTATATCTTTCCTCACATAAAACTATAAATTACTAAAAATCATTTTGTTAAGTCCCTAAATTTTTTATCACCAATATAATTTTTTATTATAAAATATTAATTTTATTATATATTTAATTTTTATTACTTATTTAATATTAATTCATAATTATATTACTATCAAATATTTGTTTTATAAATTCATAGCAGAGCATGCTATCTTGTTGAAATTAAATGCAATCATTTAGTTTCAATTAATGTCCGGTCTCACGGAACGGAGAAATGGAGCACTGGCACCAATAATAGAAGAAAACCCCAGAATCCTTTCTAGTTCTTTCTGTCGCAAGCAGAGCCTCGAGCCGCTACTTTACTGTAAGCACTCTCCAATCAATCTCTTTGGATTTTGCGTATATATGCGCTTTGTGATCTCCGATTCATCGAATGAATGAGCTTTGTTATTTTGGTTCGGATATAAATTATTTAGGAAGTTTAATTCGGAGAAAGACGAAAGATATTTGAAACCCCACCAACAATTTTTGCTTTTTTTCTTCCAGCAAATTTTATTATCGGATACCCTCAGTGCTGTTTCATTTGCTAAAAGTGGATGTCTATTTTGGACAAAAATAAAAATAAAAATAAAAATGGTAAAGTATGATCGGATTAACCTGTGGCCGACTTGGATTGTATTGCATTGCATTGCCTTGCATTGCCTTGCTAGCTGCTACTGTATTCATTGCATTGCATTGCCTTGCTAGCTGCTACTGTATTTGTTAATGGGGAAATATCCATCTATTAACGATGGAAGATATCGAGCTGTGTTTTCTGTTTCAGTATTTGTATGTTACAGTTGAGACAAAATGAGAAGATGGATCCGGCGAAGCTTCTGGACAGGAACCAAACCTGGAAGAGCCTTTCGACCAAAAAAATTAATGTTTTGTTGCAAGCATTTATTTACTAGCTAAAAATTGAAGGCTTAAACCCTAAAAATTTCTTTCACTTCCGACCTGGTGTTCATAACTTGGGTTTGTGGTCATCTAACTGGTGTTTTGGTTGCTTCCCTTTTTCGTTTTTAAGTTCCAGATTTGTACGCACCTTTTGTTCTCTCGTTTTTGTTTTCTTTCTAGAGTGCTGGTTGTCTTCTGCCGGCTTTTCTTGAGATTGTTTATAGAAGAGGATGTGTCCAAACTCCTCTTTGCCATTTCCATGGATCTCGAATGAAATTCTGATGAAACTGGAGAAGAAAGATTTGTCCCGGGAAAGGTTTTGTGATCTTTCATCACAGGAAATTGCCGAACTCATCTGTTTTCACAAGATGGACAGAACACTGCACATTTCATCCACCACATCCCAAAGCTAAACCTTGCAGCACATGTTCAGCCCATAATTCACACTGCGATGAGGGGTGAACCCACAGCATCACCAGACTTTCAATGGGAGGACAAGTTTCACGGATACACGAAGCCATTTTGGGATGATGATGTTGATTCTATTCTTCATCACCAGTACTTCATGCTTAATGAGCAGTACATTGACAGGGACCACACGCTGAATTTCACGGTGCCAATCTATGAGTATCGCCACCCTGTAGTGTCAGATAAATGGCTTGGTTCACAAACAATTTTAGTCTCTTTTAGGCATCTTATCTTGCCATAAAAGCATCTGCCTCCAACAGAGTCGTTGAACCTGCAGCCTCTGCCCATGACTGTGTTGAGAAATCCATCATACGAAGCTCTTTGTTGAGATTTTAAGCATTTTATTCCAGCAATACAGATGGCATTGTCAGAGTGTCATCTGTGCTGTGTATATTGCACATCTTAAAGAAATTTCAGGGAATGCTGTCATGATTGGGAGAGATTTTGGTAGAAATCTTGGCTTGCAGATTGTTGAATTAACTGGGGAAACAAACATGAACTTGAAATTGCTAGAAAAAGGCTCGAGTATTCATCAACACTCTGGCGAAATTAGATGCTTTATGCTGGAAACAGCATAAGCAACCAAGTATATTCATCAATTTAGTCTTTTTATCATCGGGGTCAAGGCAGCCTTCTTGGAGTTATTGTCTCTAGGACGCAATACATTGCTAGTCGTATAGAGAACAAGATACAAATTGTGCCTTTGTTGTCTTGTCTTGCAAATGCCAGTGATCTTGGGGAACGAATAAGAGCTACATTCCATTGTCTTTTCAATTTTCCTCTGGAAATAAAAATTCAGGGTGTAGATATTGCCAATTTTGAGCCAAGGTGTGAGCTATGATGAAACTGACATATTCTTCTATAGTCCATCATGCACAGAATGGAAAAAAATGTCGAGAGAAGCCAGAAAGCATTTACAACTCACTGCTGTAGATCTGATGGCATACTCGAGTGTTGGTGGTGGAGAGAAGCTGGCTTTTCTGCTGCGGTCTCCTGAGGTATCAGAGCCTTTCATTCAAAAAATTCAGGAAGAAATGTTGAGAGCCACTTCGTACATAGAGTTGGCTACTTGCATGAGGGCTTGAGCAGCTTGGATCAAGTTGTTGTTTCCAACTGTTTAAAGCTGGGTGGATTCAGTTTTCTGTCATGTGTAGTTCAATGTATTGGGTAGCGAATTTCTTGGCACATTTGGTGGTTGTGATGGGTGCTCGATGCTGTTACAGATCATCTTCAGATGACAAGTCATGCTAGCAAGCTCTTCAAGATATCTCGGGAAAATGTGTCATCCTTCGCCACAAACCTCGTAGAGAATTCTACAAGAAATTCTTTACATGAAGCGTTTCCACAGGAAACGCATTCGCACCATTTCCTACATGATAATTTTAATGCTGAAGTTATTGAGCACAAGCAGGATGCTATAGAGTTATGTCAGAGTCACAAGCAGGATTCTATAGAGTTATGTCAGAGTCACCGGATGCTGTGTATATAGGATGCTCACTCAGAATTCAAACTGCTAAAATCTCCTGGTAGGTAGTTAGAGGCATGTTTCTGATCACCTTTCGAAGCTTGTTGAGAACACATGGAGTGATCTAGGAGCCGAGTAAATGCGTCGCTATCGGACCTCCTTTCTCCTCTGAATCATGGTAGGATAGCATCTTATTATTAAATCAGTTTTACTTGCTATTTAATGATAGAATCATGGCTGAAAATGCTTTTGCTTTATTAATACCACTACTATTTGTTTTCACGACACTTGTTAGTGGTTTTACTAGACCAAGTTGCAGCATCATGATCGAGTAGTATTCATCGATGAATCTTGTAGTAGCTACTACTAAACCATCCTCGTAAACAAGATAAAGCTAGTAGTAGCAAATATAACTTTATTATTGTAAAAAAGTTGTTTCTGGCTTAGCTTTTTGCAGCGGAGATGGGGGCTGTAATTTACAAGGAGGGGATCAGGGTAGTAATCAAGATAAAGAGGCAAAACACTCGTATAATTATTACAAAGCATACAACTACTAAAGAGAGAGAAGAGAAAAGTGATGATCGAGTCGGAACTGATGAAGGTGGTGCTGGTGAGACGTAGCTGCATAATCAATCTTCGTAGATGCGACACTCGTCAGTCTCAGGATTGTCTTGACAATAATACTCGAGAGGATCCTGCTTCTCCAACCTGAGCCTGAAATCGGCCTTTGCTTGGCTCACCTCTTCCACCTCGTCCCATGCTACCTTGCACTCGACTGATGTCGCGTCTCCCTTGCACGCTTCCTTCGCTTCTATCACTTTTTTCTCTATCATCTCTGTCAGCAGCTGGTTCCTCACCAGCGTCCCTTTGAACCTGGCCACGCCTCCTCCACCACCTCCCATGCTTGCTTTCACCCTCATCGCTTTCATAGCCCTCTTACCACTGTCCCTCCCAGTTGTCTTTATAGCAATAGGTCTTATACTCAACAATTTGTCGCCAAAAGCATCAGATCGTAATGAGAAATTAGATGAAGACAGGATCAAGGAAAGAGATGCCATCTGTTTCTCCTTCTCCTCTCTAGCAAACAGAGCAGTCCTTATCCACAACTACTTCAAAACTATCTATATATATATATATATATATATATATATATTAACAATATGAATGATTAGGGATATGAATGTAATTTCGTGCTTGATAGTTGATGATATACTTGGATAAGCTTTTAATTGTTGATTTACCAAAACGGTCTTCCCTGCACCTGCACGACGTCCACCATTCTCGGTGGTCATTAATAACGGTCTCCGTCTCACTTTCCACCAGTGGCGTGGATTACATGAGGGCTTTTTTGCCTGGCTTGAAGATCAAGGAAGGTGGCCGGATTTGCTTTTCCAAGCGTGTGTACGGTATAGATTTATGTGGAGATTTCAAGAAAGCATTCATTGTTTGGCTCGCCTTATGACGCGACATTGAGCAAGTAGCTTTCAGACATTAACAGCCAACCAACTTCTTCATGGATTTGATAAGAAAAAGGAAAAAAAAAGCCCATCTCTTTTGTATTTGCTGTTATCACACCATTCATGGAGTGATAAGTACAGGAAAAAAGAGAGAGTCCATCTCTTGTCTTTTCTGTTAACCGTATGCTTGCGATTGTTTGTTGTTTGAAGTGAGACATGTTTTATGTTTTCTTTTATAAAGAAGTGAAAATAATACAAATTTACTTTAAAAACTATTTTTCTAATATTAGGAAACGCCATGTAAAGTTTAAATGAACTCCATGATGCTTCGGCCACCCAGTGAGAACGCTCTCCTCTTTTAAATTCATGGGGCGCCTATGCCCATAAACTCCCTTCGGTATCATTATATTATTAAAAAAAACTAAAAGGTCTCGGTGTTTGCGCGTAAGCACAAATACTGTGTATTCAGATAGTGTATTGATTAATTTATCATTTACCTGGGAACATGGGTAAGGTCGTTTTCGCAAGGAGACTGGAATGCTATTTGTTAAATTCATTGAGGATAATTTAATCGTTTATTGTTTTTTTATGCATAGTAAAAAATTATGTTATCCTTAAAAGCTAAAATAAAATAGCTTTTCATCTACGTGTGTTTGTGTGTTTTCCCATTTATTTGCACTTATACCCTTAAAAACTCAAAATTATTATCTTTATATTTTTTTTAAAGTAAAATAACATATTTAACGTCCAACTTAAAACAATTTAAGGCTAGCTTGGGAGGGAGGTCGTTTTCATCCTTGCACCTTTGTAATATTCATATGCAAGAGCCTCCTTAACAATTTATATTATTAAAATATTAATAAATCAACCAAAAAAAATGTTGACTCGTGTTATACACCTGTTAGTATGTCATCATGTTTATCACCATTTCTAGAGGCTTAACATTTAAAAATTTAGTTATGTTTTTTTATTTATATTTATTTTGAATTTAATCATTATTTTTTTAATTTTAAAGTTTCTTGAAGTTTTTTTTTTAATTTTATCTTTTGATATTTAATATCATTTAATTTTTATATAAAATTTAATTTTTATTCTTTTTATTATTATTTTTTTATCTCCAAACATATAATATCATTTAAAATCTATTTGAGAGTATAGTAGTGTTGTTTTTTAAAATATTTTTTATTTTAAAATATATTAAAATAATATTTTTTTATTTTTTAAAAATTATTTTTGAGATCATTATATTAAAACAATTCAAAATATAAAAAATTTATTTTTTTAAAAACACTAGTCGGCTCATGTTTTTAAATACTCTCTTAATATCCTCTAAATTTTTGATTTTGTGATTTTAGTATTGTTTAAATATTTTTATTTATTTTATAAACAAATTAACTCGAACCCCGGAATTCAAATCTTTGAAACCAAGCAGTGGACCTGGAGTCCCTTATTTTTTTTAATGAACAGTACTTCAATTTCAAATTTGCTGGGGGAGAGGAGTCTAAAATGGTAGGGGCCGCAGGAAAGGAAGGGCACAGATTTCCACCCTCCACAAATCAGTTCATCTATATATATTTATAACTAACGGCTAGTAATCTCATTTGCAAAATCTCTCTCTCTCTCTCAAGATTCAAGAAGAAGAAGAAGAAGAAGAAGAAGCAGCAGCAGCAGTCATTAAGGGAGAAAATGGAGATGGAAAAGTTGGATGCAGAGACGGAGTTTCTCGCGACTAAACAAGAGACGGGTAACGAGTGGGAACTGTTCAAAGAAAATGTAAGACCCCTGAAAAGAGGCCGAAACGTTGGCCTCTTGAATCAAGCCCTCAAATCCCACACAGACTTTCAACTCAAGAAATCTCTCCTTGACACCAGAAGGTCCTCCTCCTCCATCCTCCTGCTTTCATTATATTCATTACTTATTGATTTGATTTCTTTTCACTTTTTAATTTCATGGGTCTAGGAAGTTGATAGAAGCGATTGATGAGTATAAAGGGGATGATCCTCTCTTTCCATGGATTCAGTGAGTGCTCTCCTTCTACTTTTATTGTTGTTGTTGTTGTTAATTAATTAATGAAATGCTATGGTGATGTTTGAAGGTGTATAAAATGGGTTCAAGAGGCATTCCCACCAGGAGGAGACTGCTCAGGCCTCATACTCATATACGAACAATGTGTGCGTGCCTTTTGGCATTCCGACCGGTACAAGGATGATCTCCGTTACCTCAAAGTTTGGTTAGAATATGTGGGTTCTTATTTTTTTTTCACTCTTTACCTGTCTGCGTTTTCAATTTTTTTGGAGATTCTGTGTCCTGATGAAAATAGTGCTTCTCCTTTGCTGTTAGGCTGAAAATTGTGCTGATGCAGAAGTCATTTACAATTTTCTTGAAGCAAATGAAATTGGAAAGTCACATTCTGCTTATTACCTAGCATATGCTTTGCATATGGAATCCAAGTCTAAGATGAAAATTGCAAACGACATTTTCAATCTTGGGATATCTAGGTAAGTCTCTCTCCTCCAATATTTTAATTCTATACGACTGAGTTGGCTTCATTGCTCAAGGGCTTGGAGTTGTTTTATAAGGCTTTTACATGGATTTATTCCACTCCCTCACAATCAGGACTGATGACTCAACATCTTCATTATATATTCACTTAGTTAAGTTGCATAGGCAGTAGTATTTGCCTGCTACAGCATTTGAAGTAGGTTAAAGAGCAAACTAATCAAACAATATATCACAAAATGAAACTGTCCGAGCTGCAGTTAATTGGGAACTAACTCTCTGTGCGCGCTCAAACTTTTAGATTTGTTGCTGTTCAGCATCATTTAAATTAATTCGCTATTCTTGTGCTTGGCAGCTTGTGAGCATTTGAGTGTTTAGATATGTGTTTGCAAACAATAACAATTAGACTTTTGAAAGCAATGAGAGAATAAGAATCCACACATAACTGACTTCATTAAGTTAGTGCAATTTAATACATGGAAAAGTTCTATGGTGCGTGCTGGAAAAGCAATGAGGAGACGATCTTTTTCTTGTTTGTTATCATCAGCTAAGCTTTTTCGTGGTCTGATATCTTATCTCTGCAAAAATCATTTCTTGTTTAAGTTCTGTTGTTTAGATATGTGTTTGCGAACAATAACAATTAGACTTTTGAAAGCAATGAGAGAATAAGAATCCACACATAACTGACTTCATTAAGTTAGTGCAATTTAATACATGGAAAAGTTCTATGGTGCGTGCTGGAAAAGCAATGAGGAGACGATCTTTTTCTTGTTTGTTATCATCAGCTAAGCTTTTTCGTGGTCTGATATCTTATCTCTGCAAAAATCATTTCTTGTTTAAGTTCTGTTGTTTAGATATGTGTTTGCGAACAATAACAATTAGACTTTTGAAAGCAATGAGAGAATAAGAATCCACACATAACTGACTTCATTAAGTTAGTGCAATTTAATACATGGAAAAGTTCTATGGTGCGTGCTGGAAAAGCAATGAGGAGACGATCTTTTTCTTGTTTGTTATCATCAGCTAAGCTTTTTCGTGGTCTGATATCTTATCTCTGCAAAAATCATTTCTTGTTTAAGTTCTGTTGTTTTTCTCCCATCAAAAGCAACCACATTGAAGTTACTTATCCTTCAGTTTGATGGACTTGTCTATACAATTAAAATTTTGTTTTCCAATCTTCAATGAGCGTTTACTTTTATAGGGATGCTCAACCAATCGAGAAATTGAAGGATGCCTATAGGAAGTTTCTTATTAGGTCGATGAGAAAACCAAATGTTGTGGAGGTATGCGGCTTTGGTAAATTATTTTGTTTAGTTGATATATGATCAAACAAATGGAAGTAGTTTATTATTTCATTTCTCCTTCTTAGGACGACTCTGGAGAAAGTCACTTGCCAGTCCGAAGCTTTGGAACTGTCCTGTCCACTGCAGATAATCGTAAGTTTCTACTGCTCTAATCTGCCATTTTGAATATGTTGCTAAAACTCACCAATATTGCAGGGAGGCAAAATATGGAGAGATCTGAACTTGCAAGGAAACAAATGAAGCCAGACAGGTAAGGATGTGGTTTTAGAGTCGCTACTTTTCTTTTAGTTCCTAGTTCACCTTTCTGTTCCATTCAAGGATTTGCATCTTGAACACGGGAAAATGAAATTGATCTGCCAGTTTGCATGCATATATGAATCTCTAAAAACTTGCTTATTTTGTTGCCCAACTGGGATGAAGTAGCACATCCATTTAGAAGCTGTGCACATGTTCTACCACTCGCATTACACTCTAGGTTGATTTGTAGTAACTTCAGTTAAAAGTGTAGTCATTGGAAGTTAATATATATTTAAAAATTATATTGAAAATGATTGGAAAGGTGGAAACAAGCCCATATATAGTTTGATGTCAAAGTTTACTAATGTCCAAAGGCACAGGTTTCCTTCGGTGTGTGATAGATTCTCGTGAATGTCAGCATGTTCCTTCCTCTTAATACATCCTCGGAAATGTAGAAACTTTTATGGTGTCAGCACCTTTGCTTAAAAGTGAACAGTTGACTGGTTCATTCAGTGTTTCAGGAATACAAAAGAAAGTTGAGAAGTGACTATTGCTATGATTGAGATGCATAAACTTGCAATTGAGTACTTTATGCCATCGCAAATTTTGTGTGCATTGATTAAAGAATCTGTGCCATGATTCCTCTTCCCTACCCGTGTGAAACATTGACACATGTTGTTTGCAAGTGTTTCAACCGAATATGCCTATTGATATGTGTTTTATTTCGAACATTTGTTATTGTTGATGGAAGCTAACTCGGTTGGCATTATCATTTGGATTTCTGTTCTAAGTTCTAACACACTTTCTTCTGATCTCGTTTATAGGACTCAAAAGATTCCCCTTTCTATTTTCAAAGACACAACAAGTATTGACACCATGCCAGGACATCAATCAGGCAAGTCCAAGACAGATTTGAGTCCTTGGAGCACTCTTGGAGCTCGAGAAGAAAGAGACAAAGAAAATAGTGCATTGCCCACCAAATGGACAACATACAAGGTGGCTTCATCTCTCAAAAACACTCAATGCAATTTTTCATCTGAATTCCTTTTCAATAGGCGGGCACTAAACTTTGAGAACATGCCTTCTCTCAGATTCCTCGGAGACCTGGAGCTAGAACTGGAGGGGTAACTGCAAGCGCCTCCATTGAAGTGTTTGTTGACGAGGAATGTACAGAGTGAGTAATACCATTGTTCTAAGGGATAAATAATAATTTTTCAATTGATGGAGACAATTCTCCATCAAGGAGATTGCATCAGTTCTTCTGTATATGCAATACACGATGTAGTGCTTGTTGATATGTTAGTCTCCTTGTTCTGTTGTTAACTTGTTATCTTGTCTTATCAGAATGGATAGATCACATGATCATGATGGCAAGTCTTCGACGTTGAAGCTGAGGCAGGGAGATGGCCTGGACATTAAGAAGTAAGTGCTAGTTGCATGGCTATTTTCACTGTCCACTCAAGGATGTGCTAAACATTACAGAGGATATATTTTCCTAGTGAGAACTGATTAGTTTTCTTGATTTTTCAACTGGCAGGGAAACAGATCTCTTAAGGGAGAATCCACTAAGGAACTTTCCTTTGCGCAGCCTTCCTAGGTGATTGTGCGCTGCACAATCTAATAACGGACTTATTGTTTACCTTTCCTTCAGTGTTGTATGATCTTAAGCGGATTTGCTTTTATCTCTGAAGCCCTGATCCATATCTTCCAGTGCCATTACTACAAACTTGTCTCAAGTCATTCTGAGATTTTTAGATTCTTTCTTTGTAGTGGAACGTCGACTCTGAAATTAGTGGTTTGGTGAGCTAGCACAATTGTTGTGCTTTTGCATATGAAATGCGTGTGGATTTGTTAGCATGATAGTGTGTTTACTTATCGGAATCCAGAACTTCAAGAAAGATGTGTATGACTTCCCTGAAGTTTGCGCGCGGTGCCGAGTCATTTAAATCTAGGCGAAGCAGCACATTAAAGATCAAAGCTCGGATGTTAAGGTAATTTTTATTTTATAAAATATAATTTATATTTACTATTAAAATATTTTATTAAGGGAATAACTTGAGCCGCTGTGAAAATAAGTATAGCCTTTAGGCTATCGGACACTGTAAATATAAGCATGCATGGATAAGTATGTGCAGCTACGTATTACACACCACAGCAATCCAAAAAAGTGTCATCAATCATTTTGCCTTTACTTTGGTCTGTGGCATGGAATGACCAAATTTAAAGAATTGCCAGGCAGAAAAAAGAAAGCACATCAACCATTGACCCGTAGGAAGATAGGAAATACCTGCACGTGAAAGCAAAATTGAGGGGATACTTGCCATGATAATAATAATTTCATGTATCATGATTATAATAAAACCTGTAGTTTTAAAATTCAACCCGACTAGAGCTCAAGTTACATGCTAAAAGCATAGAAAATATTTTTTTTTAATTTCTTGGGACCAGACACTCAGTTCAAACACCGAGGGAGCCATCAAGCCTGTACAGGTTTTAAAACAATAATAAATATGATCTAAGATTGAGCCAGCTCAATACCTCAATTGTGGATTTAAGAGATGATACCGGGTTGACCCGCGTCTGTTCAACCTTTTGTTTTACATTTTTTTAAAAGAAAAAAACTGAAAACGGATCTTATTATGAACCCACCCGGTCACTCGTTCGTTCATTCATTAATTATTTAGTGGTGGTATTGGTACGGCCACTCCTCTCTCTTAGAGACAAAGGGACTGCTAGAGAGAGAGAGAGAGAGAGAGAGGGCTGTATCTTTAAATTCCCCAAATTTCTAAAGTTAGGGTTTCTTTCATGAACGAGAGCTTTCTAAAACAGAACCCCAAATAAATCCCATTATCAAACAAAACCATGGCGGAGCACTTAGCTTCAATCTTCGGTACTGAGAAGGACCGAGTTAATTGCCCTTTCTACTTCAAGATTGGCGCCTGCCGTCACGGCGATCGCTGCTCTCGCCTCCACAATCGCCCCACCATCTCTCCCACTCTCTTATTATCCAACACGTACCACCGCCCTGACATGATTACTCCCGGTGTCGATGCTCAAGGCCAGCCACTCGACCCACGCAAGATCCAGGAGCATTTCGAAGACTTTTATGAGGATATTTTTGAAGAACTAAGCAAATTTGGTGAGATCGAGAACCTTAATGTTTGTGATAACCTCGCCGATCACATGATCGGTAACGTTTATGTTCAGTTCAAGGAGGAGGACCAAGCTGCCGCCGCTTTGCAATCTCTTCAGGGACGATTTTACTCTGGTCGTCCTATTATCGCCGATTTCTCTCCAGTCACTGATTTTCGTGAAGCTACCTGCAGACAATACGAGGAGAATAACTGCAATCGTGGTGGTTATTGTAATTTTATGCATGTGAAGCTGATTGGCAGGGATTTGCGGAGGAAGTTGTTTGGAAGATATCGGGGATACAGGGTTAGTAGGAGTCGGAGTAGGAGTGTGAGTCCGAGGAGGAGGGATAGAGATTATGATAGGCGTGAGAGGGATTACAGAGACAGAGACCGTGATTATCGTGGAAATGGGAGGAGGAATGACAGAGACGGAGGGAGGAAAAGACACGGGAGTCCGAGGAGGAGCAGGAGCCCGGTCAGGGAAGGCAGCGAGGAAAGAAGGGCCAGGATTGAGCAGTGGAATAGAGAGAGGGAGGAGAAGCAGTGATTTGAAGAGGGAGAAAGTTGTCTTGGCTGGTCTAGGAGTGGAGATGTATGTTGGCATTTTTCTCTTATTGGTAATGATTCTAGGCTCTAGTTTGGTTTTCATCTTTTCTTTTGCTTTGAATATTTGACCCTTTTTATGAAGGATTCGTACTATTTTTGTTGGTACCTTTGTTATGGAGTTAATTATGTCAGTTAAGCTTTAGTTTAGTGATTATTCTTCTTGCTGTTAAATTGTTTTTATGAATCCTATCTTTCTTGTTCTCTGTCTTTTGGTTTTGGGTTTGTGTTACTTATATCTCTTTATATTGAACTGTAAAACCGTGCCTGCCAAAGCATGTATTTTGCATATTAATTTGACTGGCAATGTTAAGAGTGATTTATTCAATTCCATACCAACATGTAGTGATCCCTTCTGATTTATGATGAATATGCTGGAATGGTTACCTGTGATCTGCGAGCATTAGCTTCAAGTTACTTGTTTATTAGAAAACATTTTCTCCATTGCACAAGCTAATTATTTTTGTGCAAATACATAGTTTATTATGATCCGCGTCATGCTCTAAGGACTTCTCGTTTACTTCTATAGTTTTAGCATTTAAATATAGCAGGCTGCTGGTCGCATAAATAAATTCTATATAGCTGATTGCTGCCACTAGGCTTTGTAGTGAAAGTCATGGCTGTTGGTGGAAATTCGTGGTTGCTACTTGAAAATTGTTTTTGAGCTGGGTTAGAAGTTGGAGTAAAGCATTGGTCAACTGGATGAAAGAAAGCCTCATTTAGAGTACTTTGTGTTTAGAGCATTGGTGAATGGATGCCTTGCTATGGATTTTTTTTTTTTTCATGGTAAAATCTTTTCAGTAATCTAAATGGAAGTCTGGTTTTGGTTTTCATATAGTGGTTAGACTACTGTGATACGTTCATAGGAAGTGGAAGTTTATTTAGATCACGCAGGAAGATTCCAGCTTTTTGGTTTTTTTATTTGATTTTCGTGTCTTTGATGTACTTTAGGCTGATATAAAATTGAGGCTGGCCCAAGCTCTAGAACAGCTTAACATGTTGAAAGTCTTGAATTGTCAAGAAGAAGTGTAACTAACCATACTGACATGCTAAAAACTGCTATCTCACCTCTTGAAGCCACTAGGTTAAGCTGCTAACTTGCCCACTATGTGTGGTATATGATGAGTTTGGGTGCCTTTCACGTGATTTAATATAATAGCAGCTTTTTGTCCATGCTATCGAATGCAGGAATGCATATTCCCCCGAGAAGTCCCTGAGAAAACTGGAGTTCGGAATACACTAGTTTAAATGGATTTACTGTTAGCTGTCAAATTTTTGTATGGGATTTTCCCTTTTGGGTTGTGCTCAGGTTTGTTAGAGACGATGTTTTAGTTAGGGCAATCGGTTAACTTCATTATTCACACACACTTGACAGTGGTGCTCGAAAGGCTAAAGCATTGCTTTCATGTTTATAGAGGCGCATTCGATATTAAATTTATTCGGCAACTCATGTTTTTATTGAACTTAAAACTTCTTTAGCAGCTTGTAGGTATAGGGATGGATCCTGCCAGCAGATACATCATGTGGGCAGGGTGACCTGGGCCAAAAAGTTGTGTTCTGCACGAGTATGGACAAATCCCGATGATTTCCCCACGTTGTTTAAAGGCAATTTAGCATTGTTTGTTTTTTCTAATCATTATTCCATCTGTCTCTAGGTTAGGGTCAGTTCTGGATCTCTGAATTGGGCCAGTTGAACACGAAGTTGGTCAGAAAAAGGGCACGGTGTTCATGTCCAGTTAGGTACTGTTTGTTTCCGTGATAACTCTTTTTTAAAAAAAAATTGAATTTATTTTGTTTGCTATGTATTATTTTATTTGGTGTTTTTGGATAAAAATAATTTTTAAAAAATTAAAATAAAATATTATTTTGATGTGTCACTTTAAAAAATAAGCACTTTCCACATCGAGAAATACTACCATAGTGGTATTTAATGTATATCAGAAATATATTCTTTTTAAAGAGGATAAAGATTTTCTGGCACGGCCTCTGATTATCACGTTCTTTTGTTGCTATGAGAAGCAACATGGCTTATGTTCTCAAGAGATCTGTTATGATACAAAATCCAGATGACTGTGGTTGGTACCATGCACCAAATGAAATGGGTCCTGGAACTTTGATTATTATTGATTTTGAAATAGGGAAAGGTTGTGATTGTGGGTCCTGGAACTCGATGGTGCAGAAGAGGCGAACCAGTATCATAAGAGCTCCCGCTGATTTGCTAGAATGGTGCATGAACAGTGAGGGGAGCTTGATTATTCTGAATGACAAGAAAAGAAAAGAAAAGAACACCCTTGATCCTCGGTTGCTTGCCTTGCAAATGTTGTAGTGGTGTTGCAGTGGCGAAATAGTATCCATCTTAATATTTCCTAAGGTTTCTGGTGGCGAGCTGCTTCCCTGTGAACTTTGATGGTAAGGTGACCAATAAACTTTGGGATGGTTACATGTTTGATTTTTTCAACTTTAATAATTGTATAATACTAGGTTCGCAATTTAACTACTCTCTCGTATGATTTTGCCATCGTCGTGTTATCAAACATGTGGTGGGTATTCCCATCGCTTTTATCAAACAGCCCACCCTTTCCTTTTCATTCCCAGCATAGAACTTTCTCAGATCATAAAACATAATATAATGGCAATTCTCCTTGACGACTAGCAAATAAATAATAACCATTCGAGAAGCTTTGTATTTATTTTGCCCTTGTTCGCAGAAAGAGCCTTCCTTTCTATTTTCCCATTCGAGTTAATATCATAGCCCAATATTCCCGAGGAAAAAAACAATGCTCCTAGGCTTGGACTAGGAGGTGCCCAATCACCGATTATACCTCAATCATCATCAATCCTAGCCATGTTTTCAAGATCTTGAACAGACAGTCATCTTTCTCCAATCATCTCTCTCCCTATCTAGACCCAATTCTAATAATATATTCATCTCTTCAGATCTAAACCCAAATCTAAATCCATCGTGACCATGTGCTCTTGCACCACCTTGAAAACCCCCCCATAAATTAATTTCTTCTTCATTAATTCTTCAACCCGTTTCTAAGAAATATCTCACCAAATACTCCCATGTAAAAATAGATAAAAGGTCTCCGCTGAAGGCCCCTCTTTTCTTCTTCATCAATTCTTCAACCCGTTTTTTTTTATCTCGACTACCATAGAGTAGCAACCACAGGACATGCCCATTTGCCTGAAGATCTTGAAATGCAAATATACCGTAGTTATCATGGTTTTGTTAGAGAAAGAGTGAATAACTATGAATAAGAATTTGGTTTTTGAATTTAAGAGCATTTGCTTATAATTACCTTTTGATTTGTATGTTGTTTCCTTCGGTTTGTAATTTACTACATACAATAAAGTCGTTTTATATATTCTTTGGAATTTTAGTTTGATTGAGGATATAAATTTTTCAAAACATAAAATACGAAAGTAAAACAAGATCAAACTATATAAAAGGAAGGAGATTCGATGTAATTATCTCACAAACTTATAATTTCTTAACATTGTTATTCATACCATTTTTTTCAACTCAAAATATTTTATTAAAAAAATAAAATATTTGAATTGCAAATCATAATTTGTTAAACATGCCTTCTCACGAGTTACGGGTTCATTTCTTCTTCTTTTTCAATCTCCAAAAATCTTTTGTTTTGTGAAGAAATTCCATGCGCCTTTGCAGTCCCTCAGGTTCAAAGCTCATCAATCAATGACATAAGGTTCAAAGACATTATTATTTTTAGACTTTCAGGTTTTTTGCTGGGCTCTCCTTGAAATCAGGACAAAATCAACATCAAGAAAATTATATACTTACTTTATTATTTAAGTAACGAGCAGTTTATTTGTTAAAAAATAATTTTTTAAAAAAATAAATTTAAAATAAATAAATTATTTTCTGATGTTGGGTAATATAATAAAAAATAAGTTAAAAAATATTAATGTTTGATAGTTTAATAAAAAATAAGTTAAATTTTTTTTCCAGTGTTTGGTTATGTCATAAAAATAAGCTAGAAAATAACTTATTAATATTTTATTTTCTCAAGTTTATTAAAATAATAAAAAACAAATTTTTAAAATTAAATAGTTGAATGAGAATAAAATTAATTAAATAAGAGTGAAATTAATATATATATATATATATATAAATTTCATAAATTATCTCAAATAAAATAAATAATAATCAAAATAATGAGATCAAATCTAAAAAAATAAAAAAATAAAAGATGAAGAAATTAAAATAATAATAATCAGCATTTTATAAATCATTTCAAATAAACTAAGTAACAATAAAAAAATGATGACCAAATTTGATAGATAAAATTTTTTAATAAAAAAATGATAAGAAAAAAAGCAAATTGCAATTGTAAAAATAAGGACCAAAGTTAATATAAAAATTAAATTTTAAGAGATAAAATTAAAAAATAAATATTCAAAACAAAATATATATAGTAATTAAAAGTTTAAGGATTAAAATTGATATAATCATCAAATAATGATATTTTAAATTTTTTCACAATTTTTGAAAAATGTTTCAGTTCAAATTTTTTAGGAATGCATTTTCCTGAATACTAAACCAAATTTTTTTTTAACTGAAAAGTGTTTTCTATTAATCAATTTTTTTAATGACAAATAAATATAAGAAAGTTTGGAAAGTGATTTTTTAGAAATTACTTTTCAGAAAAAAAAAAAAAATACTTTCTGAAAATTAAATCAAATTTTTTTGATTAAAAAATATTTTTTATTGATCAAAAAGTAGTTTTTATTAATCCACTTTTCTAATAATTAATAAATATAAAAAAATTTAAAAATTATTTTTTAAAAAACAGATATAACGTAAAACATTAAAAAAAAAAAATGGCCCATGCCCACCTCCTGTCTTGAAAATCCACGTAGATTGCCACAGTGCCTCTAATTGTTCACTCAGCGCCTTCCTATTGGTCGGGTGATGGCAACACCTTCCTAAAAATCACGTGGCAAGATCACCGGTCCCTCAACTCCCTTGTTAGAATTTCGTGACCATCAACACGTGTACGGCTGATCGTCATTCTGTAAACGCGTCTCTGTTTCTTTTCCTTATTCACGAAGAAAGCGAGTGACGCGGTTAGAAATTGCCACGAAGCACGAACTTGGCAACGCAACCTTTCCCTCACACACACACACGGTATATACACGCACTGGAAAACGTTTTTGCTTCAAAGTTTTAGTTTTGT